CAAATTGTGTTATAGCGATACGGCATAATGCTCCGCTTTCCCGCTGAAGACGTAGACGCTGAAGCTGTGCTAATCGAAAACTCAAAATATATAAATTTTGCTTTAAAGTATTTTAGTAAAGATATAAATTACTATCCGCTCATAGAAAATCCCGAGTTAGTGTGCTAAGAAAACAAATCGAACCTTTTGCGTCTACTTCACAAACGAATCCAACTAGCATATTATTGCAGTCTCCCGTGACCCACTTGCCACTCGGTGCTCCGTCGATCATCATAAACACACATTCACCAATTCCACTAGGATTACCTACAATATTTGAGCAAATGACCATCAACTCCTTATCGAGAACTACTCTCCAGCAAATCGGCTGAGTGAGTCGATTATACCTGGATAAAATGCGTTGTACTGATCTGGTGCTCCTTGGCCATCATCCCATCTGCAATTTTTCACAGTCGCATCGGGACATCTCAGTCCTAGCCAAACCAAAGTATCAGCTTTTTCAGCTAGGTCTTGGATCAGCGCATTCGTCTGAATCAAATTTATTCAGAACGAAAAGATGAAACAACTTAGGAACTTGAGACTAACAAAAGCATCATGAATGGAAGCTAATCGACCACCATCGTTTGAACATTGAGCTGAAGCATCCAAATAACTGCTGTGATTTGCGTAGACCTGGATAAAAAAATAGGAAATCCTTATTTGTTAACTAATCTGTTACCATACCCCAAAGCATAAGTCGTTGGTTCCACTAGCATAGCCAGATGGGCAACTGAGAGCATTCACTGAAATAAATTATTTCAAAAAACAGACACCCCTTGCAAATAAGGGCTCCACATTTTGAAGTGTGAGTAACTTTTAATTCTTTGTGAACCAAATTCTTATGCTCATAAAAGAGAAAACTTGATTTGTCTCAAGAAATGATGAAAAAAAGAAGGCTATCCTTGCCTGAAGCTACGCCTGGACTTTCTAGAATCTGTACTCAATAAAACTAAACGTAGGTTTGTCTGTCTATATGTCTGTCTGTGTGTACGTACGCTCGGAACG